CTCCAGAGATGACAAACAGGAGCTAGATATACAGTTGGCTTTAGGATAAAGATCCATAAATCTCTTATTAACCTTCCACCCGAATAGCATGCATAAATGAGAGAGGAACAGGATCCTTATTTTAGCAGGTGTTTGGCAATAGTGGCTTTAAAGGAATGGATGCCCTGTGCCGAGGTGATAGGGAGCAACATGGATTGCTGGGGATACCTACGGTATGGCCTGCTAGCAGATGTTTATTTCTGGAGCTGATGTGCTCTCCTGTTCAAAGAGCATGTCAGAGAAGCATTCATACTGAGTTCAGAGTAACTTTGCAAAACAGATACAGAAAAGTAAAGAGTGCGTGCCACTTTTTTTTTTTTTAACTAACAGGTTCAACAAAAATAGCTGCACCTGTCATTTTCCACAGCAATAGACTGCCACAGTTCATAACAATGGAAATCAAATTACACCTAAAATTACAATGAAAGACTACCTTTAAAAAAAAAATTGTCAGCAGCATCTCAAAGAGCAATCCGCTTTGAATATATCTTGTTTGAACTTCACAACAATTATACCAAAGCTTATTTTGCCAGCATGGGAAAACTTCCAGAGGTAAGCCTCTGCATCTTAAATTTGTTTCTACAATACATCATCCCATTTACTAGCAACAAAACAAAACTCTTCAAAGCTGCCCCTTACGCCTTACATGATCACCTTGGTAACTAACCAGAGGGCAGAAAAGACACAGATGTTGTATCTAAAATCTGTTGACCTTCATTGTCATTACTTTTCTTCTTCTTCATCATCTCTTTTAAACATAATGAGCAGGACTGAAGTAGGCCTGTGCACGTGTGCTTGCATGTATGCAATGCACGTGTGGGTGTGAGAGACCGTCAAGTTCACAGCCTTTTTTTGTAATCTGGTGGTGAAGTTTTTCACCTTGGCCACAGCTTGGAAGGGCAGCCTGATTGAAAAGCTTTCTGGCCATGGCATCTGCCGTCTTCCCCACTGCTCTGTCACCACTTTGATTCATGCACAACCTGACCACAACCAGGAGGTGAGCCACTTTACTTCTCAGCAGGGGGGAGCT